AAAAGAGCCGGCGGCTAGAGCGAGCGGAGCCCGGCGGTTAGAGTGAGCGGAGCCCGGCGGCTTGATTAAGTGGAGCCCGGCGGCTAGAGTGAGCGGAGCCCGGCGGCTAGAGTGAGCGGAGCCCGGCGGCTTGATTAAGTGGAGCCCGGCGGTTAGAGTGAGCGGAGCCCGGCGGCTAGAGTGAGCGGAGCCCGGCGGCTATAGTGAGCGTAGCCCGGCGGCTTTAATGAACGGAGCCTGGTGGCTAGAGTGAGCGGAGCCTGGCTGCTTGAGTGAGCGAAGGCCGGCGGGCTTGCGGCAACCACATGTGACAACCCCGGGCTGGACTCCACTTCGTCCACAGTGAAAGCTGATCCGGCGATCCACAGCGTGAAGTTGATGTATTTCCTCAGTGACCAACACGGATCAGCTCTAGGCATGACGAAGCGGATATCATCCTCTTTTGGAAGGCCAAACAAAGTAGTTTTGCTTTCACAACGAAACACATGGCAACAACAATACTACAGCAAGAATCAAAGTTATGCCTTCTTTGGGCGGCGTTATGCAAATCTTCCCACACAGTGATGTAGACATGTGGGGCGTGTTAGAACGAGCCGTTTTAGGTAGGCGTGGTTGACTCTTAACTTTTATAAAGAATATCTCTTTGGATTTGAGACTTTATTTTTTTAACTTTACAGATCTTCTTTATGCACCAAGAGCTTGTAACATTCCAAAGAGAAAGGAAAATTTGAAATCGCATCATATGACCCCTTTAAAGGTGACGTAGCCTATTGGAATTGCTTACCTCAAAAGAAGGTAGATGGTTACTTATAGTTGTTAAACTGGATAACTCTGTATTTGTCTTAGGAAATTTTTATGGTCACAATTCTTCAGTCCAAGCTAAAAAATATGTCTAAAGAGGTCACACATTCTATATCAGTATTGATGGGGAAATATCAAGGTGCCTTTTTGATAATGGGCGGTGATTTTAATGATGCCCCAGATGATTTCTTAGATCGTTTCCCTCCACATACGATACCTTCTTCAAAATTAAAATGTACTACCTTTCTATGTACCCATCTTTCTATAGTGGATAGTCTATAGATTTTAATGAACAGTGTTATTCTTGGAGTAACTCCTCTAGATCTTTGCAGTCAAGGATCGATTTATGGTTGATCGACCCAGGATGTGTCCAATATGTTACTGAAGTTGCTTATTGCCACGCACCTCTTTCGGATCATAAAATTATTGTTTTGGTACTCTCTGGTTGTGATATTAAAAATAATAGTATGCGAGGCTATTGGAAATTAAAGAACAAGTTGCTTAGGAATGAGGGCTTTATTTCCCAGGTTCGAGAAGAAGCACAACAGATTTTGGGAGTGAGCAAATGACACATGTTAACAAATGGGAGTTATTTAAATTTAAAGTTAGGCAGTCTGCTGTATATTTTAGTAAACAAGTTAAAAATAATCATTTGAATAAGGAAAAGGCACTTATGACAGAATTAGACTTACTTTTGAAAAAAGATAATCTTACAGAAGATGAAAGAGTCAGATTGGAGATATTAAAAAGTCAAATTGATCAGATATATATTAATACTGCAAAGGGGGCATTCATTCGTTCTAGAGCTAAATGGTTGGAAAAGGGGGAAAAGAACACAAGCTATTTTTTTCACTAGAAAAACGAAATTATAAAAGACAAATGACCTCCTCTCTTAAAATTGATGATGTACTCATTTCGAATCCAAAATTGATTACAAATGATGTGGAATCTTTTTACTCTCAGTTATATAAATCTGTATTTGAAATGGATACATGTTCTGACTTTGAGTCAGTTAAGCAATCGGTCTCATCTATATCTATTCAGTTTCGAGACCTTTGTGATGAAAAACTAAGGAAACAAGAGATGGTTGCAGCTATTCGTTCAATGAAAAAAATAAATCACCAGGCACAGATGGTTTTTCAGTTGAATTTTATCTCTGTTTTTGGGATATTATTGAAAACCCTTTATTTGAAATGTATAAGGAATGTATTGAATCAAATTAATTATCAAACTTCTATGAAACAGGGGTAAAGATCAATTGATTTTGGATAACTGGCGTCTATAACATGGACCCTTTTCACATTTCCGGGTTTCTCAGAAGCGGAAGTCGTCATATTTGGGTTAACTTGAAGAGCAGTGAATGGGAGAGTACTACAAATATATTTTTTGCATTCCCATTTGCTCAAATAGCAAACGAAAAACTCCACTATAGTGTTTTCGTGACTTTCAATAAAAGGAAAAAAACTGAGAGAGACTGATAATGGCAGTCAGAAGAGAGAACAATGTCAAATTTACCGCTGCATTAGAAACACCCTCGCATTAGCGTTAACAGTTTTTTTGTAATTTGATGCAAAGGTGATATAATACAAAGAATAGTGTTATAAATGTAGATACATTTAAAAAAAATACAAATATGAAAAACTTTCGAGGATTTACGATGCTGATGACCATTAAACGCGTCATCACAGTCTTGTGAAAAGGGTCCATTGGCTGCCGTCGTTGGACCAGTGGGCGGACCTTACAATAATAAGAACCATTAATCGAGCACCAATAATAATTGATAATTGTTCAACAAATCAGCATATTAGAATGATTTCTGAAGGATCATGTGACACTGAAGACTGAAGAATGATGCTGAAAATTCAGCTTTGCATCACAGGAATAAAATACATTTTAAAATATATTACAATAGAAAATGGTTCTTTTAAATGGCAAAAATATTTCACTATATATATTTCACAATATATTTTGCTGTATTTTTAAACAGTGTTCATGAGCATAAGAGATTTCTATAAAAATCATATATATATATATATATATATATATATACACACACACAAACTGCAAATGTGAGGGAAACATTATCCACTTTTTTCTCTCTTTATAAGTGTGTACTAGTGTACTGATTTCTCAAGTGAACAAAAAAGATGTTCACAGTGGAATAACCTTGTGTTGTTTTCTGTATAAACAGTCGCCCAAGGGCAGCAAACATTAGCGGGTCAAAGGTCGAGAAACAGTCAACCTTGGACAAGAAAACGAATTGCCCACAAACACACACCTCAAGGATGTTGCTACATGTGTGTGTGCAGTAATCCAAGACTCACTGTATTAAAATATACATTTATTTGAAAACATATTTCAGTAATGTCAAGACAAGCCAGTCATAAACAGATTTGGAAAAAAGAAAAAAATGCTTCCAGAACCAGCGCCACTGAAAACGTGGACGGCACTCTATACAAATAGCAGGTAATACACCAGTGTTATTTAGTATCGTTCAGATACTATTATAGTTTTTATTAAAATTTTGAATTTATTTTAAATGTTACATTTTCCGTTTATATTTTAATTTCAGCTAGTAATTTAGTTTGGCCTTTTTTTTTTTTTATATATATGTCTATATAACTTTTATTCATTTTAATTCTGTTTAGTTGTAGTTATTTTAGTAAATCAAGTTAAACTAAATGAAAATGAGAAATGTTGCCCTGAAAAAAGTTTTGTATAATGCATTTTATTTCAGTTACGGTTTATTTTATTTCAAATAATGCAAAAAGAGTAGGGATGCATAGAATGTATCGGCCACCGATATTTATCGGCCGATTTTTGATTATTTTAAAGCCACCAGCATATAGGAAATAGCATGATAAGGGCCGATACCGATGGTTTATTAATTAACTGCATGGAGACGTTAAGAGTTTATCCGAGGATATGTCACAAACCGCCAAGCATTAGGCCTACATTTAAGTGAAAATGAATGGCAGGTATTATGCAGCTTTTCGTGTGTTTGAAACTAGCAAAAATGGCAGGATAGTGTAGAACACGGATTCACACAAGGTCATATCATGCACTTGCAGCGCTTCTGTGAACGGAGAAAACAGAAAAGAACTATATAGGCTACATAAAAAGGAATAGGCCTATACACTAAATATATTTCACTTAAATCATTAACAGATTAACCAAATGAAAGAAAGAATTGTGCTGAGTTTCGCATAATTGTAATGACTTCCGAAGTTCACAGAATGGAAACCAAGACGGCAGAAAGCCGTTTTCTTTATTTTGCAAAAGCTTTACAGTTTTGAATGATGTTTTGCTTCTATCTGTAGGCTATAACCAAACAGCATTGGTATGACCATATATTACGGAGTAACAGTTGGGAAAACAATGCAGTGATTGCGTCGGCACCTCACATGAACATACAACATATTTTTGCAAACTTGACAACGCAGCCTGTTCATTATCAAAATAAAATACAGTTAAAGAAACATCAAAAGTTACACTGCTTCGGTAGGCTTTGGTTTCACTTTTAAATTAATTTGTTTTGGCTTGACGTTTATATTTAGCCTAAATACAACTTTAGAGGATTTGTTGTGGAGAGAAGAGAACTAAAATAGCCTAACTGTGTTATGTTTGTAAACATTTTGCCTTATTTACCAGTATTTTAGCCTACATTATTTCTGAATATAATAATAAAATGCGACGTACAGACTAATAATTTAGGCGGTTCTTTCCTCTCAAAACGCTTATACGAGTAGTGTTTTTTATCCATGCTGCAAACATTTTTAAATATCTTCAAAAAATACTTTAATGTCTTTAAAGTGTTGACAGATTTTTCTTTTGTTTAATATAACTGGCCAAAATCTAGAAAAGATGATGCTGTATTGGCTATGACTAAGCGCAAGTACCAGAGCAAGACTCTCTCCATGTTTTTTTTTTCTTTCGGAGTAGAGAAAATGCTGTACTTTATTATTATTATCATTATTATTATTATAGGCAAAGAAAAAGTGTTTTAAAAATAACGTTATTAACTGGTATATTTTCTACTCAAACCGGTTTCTGAACGGTAATAATACAGAGGAACGCAGGAACAGAAACGTTAAAATACCAATCAATATTATTATTATTATTATTTTTTTTTTTCTGCTTTATGCAGTTGACCTATATTGGTATCGGAATCGGCCAATAGTTGTTTGTTAAAATCGGTATCGGCCACACAAAAAAAAATCCTATCGGTGCATCCCTAGTAAAGAGTGTTTAGAGTGCTTTTAATTCTCTCAGTCTTACCTTGTGTCAGGTCCACATAGTAGCAGTTGTTCTGTCCAGAGCCAGTGGTGATCTGAAAGCGGTAACAGGCTCCCACCTGATGAACCAGCTGCTCTGACAACACAGACCGGACTGCATCCATCAGTCCATCCACACGACTGACACTCACAGCTGCAGCTGAACGCAGCTCATCTGTGAAACTCACTGAATCTGGAGAAACGAAATGAGATTCTGTTTATCATGCTGGTTTGAAAAAAAAGGGAATCATGGATGCATTTACATCTAATTATTTGGCAGACACTTTTATCCAAAAGTGACTTACCATTGAGGAACACTGCAAGCAATTTATTACAGATTAGGGGTGTAACGGTACACGTATTCGTACTGAAAATCATCAGTGTCTACATAACCTTATAGTAAAAGGGCTCCCTATAGTTTAGAGCAAAAGCTGAGGTAGATTTTTATCCCTAAGAAAAATTTAAGTATAATTGAATTTATTTAAAGTAAGAGCATTTTGTTCAGTAAACCATTGTTAAAAAAAAAGCAATTTATGTTTAGTTTTTTTCCTCCTGCTGTACCGAAACCATACCGAACCGTCATGTTTGTGTACCGTTACACCCCTATTACAGATCCAAGTAGCCTAACATCACCTTGACTGGATTGGGACGCAGCCGTCTGGCTCAGGAAGTGCATTGCGAGCTGCTGTATGGGTCCAGTGAGTCCTTCCAGCCCAGGGACAGACGGGGGCATAATGATGGGCCCCGCGTGTCCCCCGTCCGGTTCCCGGAGCACCCCCTCCAGGATCAGCTCCACACGGTCCACCTCCAGCCCCCACGGCTTCGTCATCTCATTCATGTCCATCTGCAGCACACAGGCACTTAAAGCTTAAAGTGACAGTGCACCCAGCATTAAAAGTTTGCTGTTAATTTACTCACCCTCAGGCCATCAAGATGAACTACCCCTTTAACTTTTAAAATCCTGGAATATAGTGGTTAAAAGTGTAATATTTCGTATTTGTCTCTCACCCCGAGATGTTCACCGAGTTTGATCCTCTCGGTCTGTATCTCTCTCAGGGTTTTTTTGCTCAGGGTCTGCATCATGGCGTTCTGGGCGGTGAGGCGGGTGGAGGCGTTCAGATCCTGCAGCGCCACCACGGACATCACCGGACTCCAGATCCGGAACTGGATATCCGCTCCAACCGACACCAGACCACCGTCTTTGGTGGTGATCTTTTGGCAGGGAATATTGTGGGAATCTCAAAATACTTGGTTTGTTGAAAGATGAGTTTTTAAATGTAACTGAACTAAAAAAACACTTTTTTTCATTGTACCTTGCATGGTGGGACGCTGAAGGCTCTGGTCCGCAGGTCAACTCTCTGCCACTGATCAATGAAAGGCAGAACCAGAACCACTCCTGGACCTTTAGGAGGACGGATCCGGCCCAGACGAAAAACAACAATCCTCTCATAGTTCGGTACAACCTGAGAATGATACTATATATTTAAGAAGCGCTTAAAAAGGCTAAAACTTTCCTAAAAATGCGCTTCGAACTGACCTTTAGGACAAACCATCCAGATATGGGAAAAGTTATGAAGGTAACTAGGAAAACCAGGAATGTTACGATCAAGTTGCAAATCCAGGACAACAATCCCTGAGATTTATCTGTTATAAAAAGAGTATAATTATTAAATATAAATAAATTAAAAATATCGTATAATATATAAAGTATTATATTTTATATTATATATATATAGAGAGAGAGAGAGAGAGAGAGAAATATGAATATAGTATTACAATATAATATATATATTTAGATTATATAATAATAATATAATACTAAAATGTATTATTATACTGATAAATACACACACATATATATACATTTTATATATAACTATTGTATATATATAAATAACAAAATAATACAAATATTATAAACATTATGTCATAGCATAATATAGCATTATAATAGTATTACATTGGTTAAGTATTCCCCACACACACACACACACACACACACACACACACACACACACACACACACACACACACACACACACACACACACACACACACACACACACACACACACACACACACACACACACAGTTCTAAACTATAGTCATTTTAACTTATTTAATATGTGCACCGTAATGTGTGTGACCGTGGAGTGAATACCTGTGAAGTCGTTCTGAGAGACTTTAGGCACATAATCAAACGAAAGTCCTCTCTGATCATAATTACTCTGAGCGAATGCAGCATGAGATGAAAACAGTCCAGGAGTGTTACTGTACACTGAATCTCTCTGCGACAGACACTGATACTCATAACCTGAAGACTTCCCGAACATTGTCATGCCGTGTCAGAAGAGATCGCTCCCTCCGTGATGCCTATGACCTTATATTATTGTTATTTTGAGCTCAATCCATGGAGACGGCCAAAAACAAGAAGCACTTCCGCGTTTGCGCCGTCTAACGTAACGTCACGCGCTGAGGGCCAATGCAACGGCGCCCTCTAGAGTACCGGAAGTGACATGCATCATTCAAAAGGATTGCTTCTGCAAATAAAATTAAATTCAGAAAGATTAATAATATATTTTATTTATACGTCCTACAAATATGAGGCATATCTTTCAGCTTTTACAAAAGTGCCCCCTTCAAAAGGGGTATTTGTTAACAATTTCTTTTAAACTGGTCATTAAACATACTCTAAATGATCTTGCATTATAATGGCCTTGACAGGCAATCTGCATTCTCAACATGATATTCATAAACAGGCTGTGCCAAATATCTGAGATTCCAAATAATGGAGATGCATAGCAATAGTATAGGTATAAAAACTACAGTAACTCAAATAAAAAGAGACATAAAATTACATAATGAGACAAAATAAGCAACCTATGCAAACAAATAATGTGGCTTACATACATTAGTGCTTTTTTAGCATTGAGGCAGATTCATTGGCATCGTAACTAGCATGGCAGTAAATCAAAGCACCTAAATTCTTGAGGACTTCATTCCTCTAAAAACAGTCTTTCAGGACGAGCTCCTCAGTTTTTGAACATGTCACACAGTAGTTTCTCCATCGGCGTGTTCCCGATGGTTCTCTGGAAGAAGAGTTGCTCGATTCTTTCCGAACTCACAAAGTGAAGGGATGGAAGGAGAAGCAATAGTCTGCCGAACCTAAGGAAAGTGATTCATAAGAATAATTTGCATTAGTGTCCACTCTCAAAAATACAGTTTAACTTCTTTATGCAAATGCATGTTTGTATATTTGCTCACCTGGCGACTTGACTGGGGTAAAGAGTGTGGATATGTTGAGCTAGCAGCACTTGGGACTGATCCTGTAGGTTCTCCACCTGTTCTGGGTCTTTAAGTCCTCGTGTTTCTGTTACAGAATGCAAAGATTACTCACCCAGAATAACATTTATACCCCACGAGCTCAGTTCTTGTAATGTAGGCTATCATTTATGCCCCCTTGTGGCAAGAAGAGGGAAAAACCTACCTGGTTTAAACAAAACAATGGCTTTCAAGCATGCAAACTCAGTCGGATCCACTTGTAGGGGCTTGAAGCGGCTAAACACTTCTTGCAGGACCCTCACATCCACTGCCGAGGGGCTTCCCTTGCCCTGGCCTGGGGGTGAGAGGTCTGGCAGGGACAGCAGTGGGCAGTTGTCCAGAGGTAGCGACCACTGAATTGCACACAGAAGAAACAGCTCACTCCATGCTTCCTCAAGTAGAATCACCTAAAATCACAAAGAGTGCTGGGTTAAAATTTATGGATCAGTAAATTGAAGTTAGGCAGATTAATCAACAATATTTGCTATTTTGAATGGCACTTGCAGATTATTGTACCTACCGATTATACCATATAACTAAAAAAACTACGTAACTATGTTTCTTCGTCTTGAAATCCCTCTGTTTCTGGATGAACAAATCAGAAAATACTCATCTGGTGGTAGTAGAGGGAGGAATAATAGACTCTCACCTGGTCTCTGAAAGGTAGATGGGAAAACACCGGCAAGTTCTTTGCCCATTTAACAGACATGAAGAGCAGGCGGGCTGAGGTTTCATATACACTCTCTGGTCCGCGTGAGAGGTAGAGAGCACTGCCGTACTCTGAAGAACTCCTCTCAGGTTCATTACTGGTCACATCGATGTTCTCATCCACTGTAAACACAGTTGAAAAGGCCAGCTTAGACTAGCATAAACTTCCCTGCTGCTCTATGCTAGTACAGTGATGTTGGTCTTGCTGGCAGACTAACTCTGTCTAGCCATGGACTCTGTCTGAAACCTAAGGCACTGTTGCCTCGCTATCTAGTCAGTCAATGACTTATCAGGTAGCATTCTGTGGATTCAGATTCCTCATACACTGTCAGAATATAACTGTACCTTTAGGAGTACAACTTTTATGAGGAAAGTACCCTTAAAAGGACATATTTGTACCTTATATACTTTTAGGGGTATTTAAGGTACAAAGATGTCCCTTAAAGGGTACTTGCCTAGACATAGTTGTTGTACTCCTAAAGTTACAGTAATATTCTGTGTATGAGGTACACAGTACTTTAGAGTAGTGATATGTACTCTTAAGGTACTAATATGCACCTGTAGGGTCAAATAAGGTACAAAGTTGTCCATTTTAAGGGTACACTCTCAGCTACAAAAGCTGTCACTCTACTGTACATTTTCAAAAGGTACTACATTGCACCTTTTAAGAACTAAAATGCACCATTTAGGTACTAATATGCAGTGTTTGGGGTAGTGCATTACAAGTAACGTGAGTTATGTAATCTGATTACTTTTGTCAAGTAACTAGTAAAGTAATGCATTACTTTTAAATTTACAAGAAAATATCTAAGTTACTTTTTCTAATAAGAAACGCAAGTTACTTTGTTTTCCCATTTATTCACTGACACCTCTCCTGTCCTTTATTGAGAGAAATCGGGAGTAAGTGCAGAGGCACTTCCTTAAGCCTGAGGCTCATTAATTTCACTTTTGGCATGAAAGGGCCTTTACAATTGCCAAAAATATAACTTTTGTTTTTTGTTTTTTTATTTTATTAAAAATAAATAAGCAAGCCCAGCTCAGGTGACAAAAAGTAACACAAAATAACATAATGCATTACTTTCCATAAAAAATAACTATGTTACGCAATTAGTTAATTTAATATGGCGCAACACAATATTGTAATGCATTACTTATGTAACTTTCCCCAACACTGCTAATATGCACCCTTAAGGGCCTTCTATGGCACCATAACATCATAAATACATCTACAACAAGTTCAAAGTTCAAAGTGAGCTTTAGGCAAATATTTGATGTACCTTCGGATCTCCAAGGTTTTGGACATAGGCATGGTGTTCACCAACAAAACTTTTCTAGGTTGACCAAGGTGGTGTCATTCCTTACCGTCCTCTGGTTCCAGCTTGGCGCAGGTCTCGGCCGTCATCAGGCTGGCCATGAAGCGATGTCCGTTCTTGGGGCTGTTGGAGAGCTGGCTAATATCTGTGGAGCTGATGCTGGAGCTGATGGAGGAGCCCAGCAGTGGGCGGTTGATCACAGAGCAGGTGGACGAGGAGGTGGGCTCCAGGGTGGTGGTGAGGTGCTCCTTGTCCATATCCAGTGCGTCTAATCTGACTTGAGCGGTGCTGCGGGGCTGACGCTCATTCTGAACAGCTGAGAGGAGATGGACGGAAAGGTTTAGAAAGTGAAGACAATGAGGAAGAAGAGGATGCTTTTAAGAAGTTGACTCACCATCCTTGTTCATGCCAGCTTGAAGACATTTCTTTAAGCGACAGGCCTGGCACTGATTCCGATGGGCTTTGTCCACGGGACACATGCCTGTACCAGCTTGACATCTGTAAATTTCAGTATCAGGAAGGTTAAGGTAGGTTCTACCTTTAAGCTTCTCTTCTCCCAACTTTGAACACTCTCAGAAAAAAGGTACAAATGCTATCACTGGGGAAAAGCTATACCTTTTCAAAAGGTACTAATATGTAAACCTTAGGTACAAATATGTTCCTTTAAGGTACTACAATGCACCCTTTAGGGGTAAAGAAAGTACAAAGGTGTAGCTCTTGAAAGGGTACCGTCCCATTGACAGCTTTTTTCCGAGAGTGAATATGCAAGGTGTTTTCTCACCTGTAGATGAGTCTGCGCCTCACACTGCGCTTGAAAAAGCCACTGCAACCATTGCAAGCATATATCCCGTAGTGTTTCCCACTGCTGGTGTCAGAACACACTTTACAAAGAAGTCCTGAGTTCAGGATCTTGCCAGGAGTGGGGCTTTTACCTGGGAAAGCATAGGAAACAGGGCGCAATTGCTTATTCAAAATCCAATCATTAGTAGTTGATAATAATAAGACAGCATTTACTTGGCATGCCATACTTGCTAAAGTAAACCTTGCTTGAGAATATTGTATTTTAGAACTTCATTAAATATATTCAAACAGAAATTCAAGAATACCAAAAAGTTTGAAGGGTACTTGCTTGCAAGAGTCTTTACCACTACTTGCATGTCCACTACAAGCTAAACTGAAGAAGCAGTTACTCACCATCTTGGCTGTCATCCGTAGAGTTGCTCCTGGAAGACTCTGTTGGTGATGCAAATGGTATCATGGACATTTCTGATATTGGATCCTCCATTCAATTTATTGAAGAAGTGTACCCTTAGAAGAATTTGGCTTTTGGGGCCAAAATATCTTTCCCAGGTAGGTTGACTGGAATCCTAGAGGGTCCTCCAAGAGATCCGTCCAGTCTTGAGAATTGTGCCAATGTTAGATGTTTCTTCAAAGTCCTTCAGTCTCTATCCTGATGGTCCTTTCTTGACTCTGGGTGTCTCTGACGTCTAGAACTTCTTGTTTGATGCTTTGTGAAGAGCAATGAGGTCTGTCACCTCCTCCTGGTGCTGGACAGTGAGTGACTCTGAGGCTACCGTGGGCTCCCTAAAGGAAGACAAAGGGATTAGCAGCAAGCGCTGTGTAAGCAAGTGCCTATTTGTCATCCCCTTAATCTTTACTGTCCATCTAGGGGTGGATCAATCAGTCACACTCAGTAGCATTAGCTATACTCACAACAAGTGTGGAGAGAATGAACAAACAAAAGGATTGGGGTTGAGTCATAACTCTCCATCTATCTCTCTCTTGTTCTCATCTCTTCTCTTTTGAGGTTTCCCCACAAAACTGCTTGACTTCAAGACTTTGGATAGCATCACACCTCCACAACTGACAGTGGCTAGATATTGAATGATTATTTTCTCTTTCTTTTTTTAATCGAGTGACTTGTCTACAAGTGGTTTCTAAGTTTCAGCACTCAATATTGATTTCATGGGTCAACACCTGTTTCTGTTATGATCAGTGATCCATAAGGACATTACTTACTTTTGACTACTGGAATGCTAACATCAATCTATATCTACAATTTTTTATGTGTAACTAAGTCTCTTCATATGAAAATCATATTTCCTTTCTACAGTA